CATTTTAACTATGCTTACCATCTAAATCATCAAGCCTATACCATCGATCTTGTTCCTATGGCAAAAAAAAAAAAAAGAAAGAATTAAATAAAAATAAATAAATAAATAAATAAAAATTGGATAAAAAATTCTTCTGCTGCTTAACAACTCTATTGGGCTATGCTTACATCGTCTAATGTATAGCCTTTATAATGTCCGTGTGTAGGTGAGTCGCCATAATGGCAAACAACTGATCGTAGTTTTAAACGATATTGAATGTCAACGCCACAATGACATTGCTCGTCGGCTGCATCCGAACTTACAAAAGAATTAAAATTGACTGATGCCGGAATATATATTTTCTTCTTTATTCTAAATGGCCGTGTTTGTTCATTGTAACCATATCGTTTCAATACCAATGGTAGAATCAGATGGTTGGTTGGAAAATGCGACTCAATCGCATTTATTTTTTCACCTACGTAAACAAATCGATCGTTCAAATTTATGTTTTAAATTAATAATTTTTAGTTAATAATTTTAGTTAAAAATTTTTAGTTAAAAAGTTTTCATTACCTTGTTCATTACTTGCTGAGTAAAACGGCAAAAGTTTTAGCATTTGCCATGCTGAAACTGGAATCTCAGTTTGTTTAACATCATCTGATGAAAACCGTTTTATTCCAGATACGACATTATCATGAAAATGTGTTATTAAAACTTCTTCCAAAGAAACTGGCGTTTCATCATGTGGATCTCCCGGTATAGCTACTTGAATCAAACGTTCGGTTATAACTCGCTCATCATTTGGATCTTTACTTCCTCCATGAAATAAATGAATCCCAAGTGGAAGATAGGGAAGTTCATAAAGGCATGATAGAAATAAAAACAATTCACTGGCATCCTCTTGCGTTGGATTTTCATTTTCATCTTTACCAATCCAGCCACAGTCAAACAAACATTCGCGCAATTGCTATTAATGTTAACAACGTTATCATTTTTTAACTTTTCATTATTTACGTAATTGTTTGCTAATTTCCCCTCACCTTAACCATATAAGCATTTATATGTTTCCCTTTCCTAAGCCGATTCACAAATAATCGTAAATTCGTCTGCAAAGTTCTTACATTTATTCCTTCTGGTTGAATAAAAAGTAAGCCGTCAAAAGATCGTGTTTTTGCGAACATTGCAAACATCAAACTATCTGTAAATGATCATATTAATGTATGTGGTAATTTACATTAGCCAACTAACTGATCCAACTAACTGATTTAGAGTTACCTATATAACAGCTAGTAAATCGATCATTTTCTGATCCAAGCATAATTACGTCTTTTCGAATATCTGATACTAGTCCATCTTCTGCTTCTATTAAATCTTCACAAAAATCCGCTACTTCCATCACATTCCATGAATTTCCTTCCAATAATTTTTCTAATTGTATTGTATCCAAAGGATGTCCCAACTCCTCTAAATAAGTACGCAGTTGATCTATCTTACTTTCTTGTTCTGTGACCGTTATTTCGACAAGTTGGGTTGAATCTTTTCCAGAATTAGGAAAAAAGTAATGATTAATGCTGTCCTTAATTCTACCTACTGGTGAACGTGTGCGTTTTAAAGGAGATACTCTCCCTTGAACATTAGGTTCTGAGACCTCCATGATATAAAAAGCAAACTTTGGAATGGGAAGTGTTCAATTTATATATACTGTACGTATGAATATCTATCTGATAATGATATTGTCCTAATCTGATTTATTACGTACCGGTACTAGTTTTTCTTGTTTAGGTTTAATTCATGTTTATTTAAATTAAAAACAGGTCATGTTACACTCGTGTAAAAAAAAAATTTTCCACCATTTTTTTATTGGAACTACATATTTCTAAAAAAGGTGTTCTATTTTCAACCTCTAAGTGCGTACGTACGTACGTATCTTCTTTAAATGTTACTGTATTTGTTACGTTCTATTTGCAAGTTTACTATAAATACATTCACCGATTTTTATCTAATGCATGTACTACACATTCGTTTGAAGTCGCTGAGTGCTTTGTCATTTACAAGATTTTTGATTCTAATTTGTGATTACTATTATACATAGCATTTACGGATCAAAATTTGAAATTAAGAATTTGTACGTATATCCTTACGTATGTCTTTTTTTTACCCAATTACATACTTATATCTTTGTTAGCTTATTGAATTAAAAAATGTTAAGTAAATTAGGAAACGTAATTTAAACGTAATTTAAACGTAATTTAAACGGGAGATGGAATACTCTATGTATTTCTGCAAGCGATAAAAATAATTAAGATGATGATGCAGTATATTAAAATATGTCATAAATTTAATATATACTGCATATTGCTTTTAAAAAAAGTTGATTATTAATCAATTTTTTGATTTAGAATAGTTATAGGCATTAATAAATTTATTCTAAATATACAATACGTACTGTATATATTAAAATTAAAAATATTTTGACAAAATTCATGTTTTTTTTTTTGGAAATAATTATATTTAACTGAAGGTAAAATAATATTTATATTTAATTAAAAAAATAAATAAATTAGATAAATTATGGTCCAATAGACTACAGTAGGTTTGTCTTTTAAGTAAAGTCTCTTAATTTTGAGATTATATTCTAAATAACTACCTTAGAGTATGAATAACACGCTAGCAAAAAAAAAAAAAAAAAATTTATGGTTAAACTGTAAGAGTTAGTTTAAATTGACTAAAAAAACTAGTAAAAAATTTATTTTTTTCGTTTTTACATATAAACGAGCTACTTTTTCCTATTTATTGTATTTTATTTCATATTTTAGGCTATACTCAAGCGGCTCTTTCGGTGTAATTTGCTAATGGTCGAGATGCTGTTCAATTATTTCGATTAATCGAAAGTGCCTTACAATTCAGCAAGTCAAAGTAATTATGAAAAAGGATGGTTGTTAGATTCAGGTTTTCTTGGTCGAAATGATTAAATATGATCTATTTTTTTTTAGCCAATCAGATCATTCATTATCATAAGAGAAAAGCACTTAAGTATACATTATGTAATACATATGTTGTAAATGAAAATGGATTTGGAATTTTTATAAAACCAGCATTTTAGGGCTGATTTTATCGTATGTACACCCTAATCCTGATTTAAATAGGAAATTCCAAATCCACTTAAATATGTATCTATATTTTTTGATTATAGAATTTTTATATACTTTATTTATAATAAATTATTATTAAATAATGTGCTATTTAGCGAGCCCTTTTTAAAATTTTACATAATAATATTGTAATTACATGTATAATGAATGCTAATTAAATAAAAGAATTAAAAAAAATTTAGAGAAAATAAGTTACGTGCAGATTTAAAGTCCAATATAAAGTAATAACTTTAATGATAAATTCTACTTTTCTTACGAAACTTATGCATGAGCTTCGTGGCACTTGCTTTGAAATTGATCGTGAGCTATTAATGAGTTTGCTGAAAAGCATCTTTATTGCTATGTTTTTAAACATATTTATATTAGAGTTTCCATATTACAAATATAACTTCTAAATAGATAATAATAAACAAACCTAAAAAGTGAATATGGTAGTGTGCAAACAATAATTTAATTACAGAATATTCAAGATTTATAATATATAGTTTTTATATAATTGTATAAAACTATTATTTCTGGTATGTATATATAGTCAAGATTGGTAATAGACTATGATAAGCTTTGAAACAAATATTAGTAAACATTGTTTATTAGGTTAGTAGATATACTAAACCACTTTTTGGTCTATTGCCCAACTCTAATAAGTATATAGATCACTATCAATAGAAATTAAACAGATTGCATTTTATACTTTAACTTTTACAGTTTTATCTTGATAAATTTCAAAGCTATTTTAATAATTTAATAGTTAAAAAGAGAAAAATTTTATATAAAAAAAGAATTTTACAAATTTTATGACTTTAACACGGCCTTCTTTTATTGATCTCAAATGGGTTTTACTAATTATTTACTCTTTATTATTATACAGCTCTAGCCTTTGTATTAAAAAAAAAAATTAAAAAAAAGATGCATAATATTCTACTACTAAATTCTTACAATTGTGTTTCTTTTAATACAGCTACACTTTTAACTAAAGAAGGTAAAATTAAACCATTGTCTGCTTTGACCATTATTGTAACAATCAAATTAATCAAAATTAAATTTTTTTTTTTTAGATTTGATAATAGATCTTGTATTGGGGCTTGGCTTTGATGCAGTTTTATAACTTGCTGCAGGAGAATCATTTTTTGATTTATTGTGAAGACACAAGCACTGTTTTATAATAAATTTGGGCATAACATTCACAGGTCATTTTGCCTCTGACAATGGATATTATACAAAAAGATCTGCAGATTAGTTTTCAATTATAATTATTGATAATTAATTAATCAAAACAAATTTTCCTCATGTTATCTATAGATTGTTCAGAATTCTAGTTAGATTAAATTTATAAAATAAAATAAAATAGATAAATAGTTATAGTTCGATAAGTCACGACTTGAGTTGACTTAGCTTAGCTTATTACTTAACTTGTTCAC